GTAACTTTGCAATAGGATTTTACTAAATTTCCCAGGCTGACTTTAACTTTTCAATCCTCCTGTCTCACAGTTCACTGAGCAACTGGATGACAGGCATGTACTACAAGGCCCAGAGGCATAGGAATTTTTGACAGCCATGGAAGGAGAGGAGCTAAGGGACAGAACCAAGGAATTTCAGGCACTGGTAAGGGCTGCTACTTCAAAGGCACCTCCTTGAGGGATTCTCATATCTGTTGTGTCCCAAGAGGGCTGGATGGACAAGGAGACAGAAGTTATTCCTCATGCCATGCTGGTTCCTCCCAGCCTTCAATCCAATGTTCCCAAGGGCTATCTTACCTGTCGAAGGAAGGTGATTGGCTGCTGACCCATAGCCTGGGCATCCCCAATGTTGGCTCGGATGACCTCAGTGAATGGTTTTTTGATACCCTGAACAGAGAGAAGGCAACAGATGGTTACTTAGATACTTTCAGTCCCAAGATTCCTGGGACCAAGCAGTGTTCCCACAGGATATTAATAAGTTGTCCTATTTTTGAGCCTTATTGAGTATCAAGCACAATGCCAAGGCCTTGACATGCATGGTCTCATTTAACTTTCACAACCACCTCATGAGGGAGGACGGGTATTAATACTGTACAGGTGAAGAAATTGTGTTTCCATAAAGCTAAGACATTTGCCCAATGTTATGTAACAAAATACAAGTACTGGATCTGAACCCAGGAAACACAACCCCAAGATCATTTTTCACTGCTATGCTACACTGGCTCTCACTTTCTGCAAGGCTGGGACAGCTTTCCTGGGTGCTAGAGGTCCATGTCCTGTCATATCACAGGACTGTCTTAAAGATAGCACTGGAGCAATGTGGTAGGAGGAACAGGGGTCAGCAATGGAGCCAAACACCAAATGTCAGGTAGGATGCTGCAGACACACCTGCACCTTGATCTCAAGTGTGGCTGCATTAAACAGTTTATATAAGTAACCAGGGATGCCAAGGGCACCGACACTGCAGGGAACCCGGAGAGCTACTCCCCTGCTATCTTAGTTTTGCAAAATATGGAATATGGGCTGACTTTTCCTTTTTTTTTTTGCCTTTAAAGCAGCTGGCATGAAAGACTGAAAAGAAAATTTGAGGCCACTGCCTGACCAAAGTGTTTAGCACAAAAAAAACAAAAGAGAACACAGAGAGGAACTCAGACCCTTAATCCTCTCTAGGAGGTGACTAAGACACCTCAGCTGCTACAGAAGTGAAAACACAGTTTAATATAGAGAATTGTGGAGATGTAGAAAATGGTAATTCTGCACAGCCTCCTAATAAATCTAAACTCAGCTACTGGAAGAACTGGAAACAACACGTTCAAAGATCTCCCATGGGGGCTGAAAGGATAATCTGAGATAAACAGCATGAAAACATTTTTCTAGGTGCAACATCACCATCCTACAAAGCTGGGCCAGGACTGAGGCCCTGAGAGTCACGGTAGCAGGATAAAGGGCAGGGTAAACAGGTGGCAGTGCCAGGGGTGCCCCAGTGGGAAGGCTTGGTCATCTTCCCACTGCCATTCACCACTTCCCAAAAGGTACCCATACATAAATTTTAAACAGAATTCTATGGCATTGACACTTGTTCTTTTCCACACATAACACAGTATCTGAGTAACTTCAGAAAGCTGCTTTTAAAAAATCAGTAAGTACATAGGGGCTGGGGAGATAGCTCAGTAGCATAAGTGCCTGTATGGTAAGCTCAAGGTTCCTGAGTTCAATCCCCAGTATCTCCCCCCCCCAAAAAAAATCAGTAATTACAACTTTAGTAATAACTAGTAGGCTTGAGAAACAAAAGCAGCTGCCAAACAAGTTTTTCTCATCCTCATTTGTCACCAGAAAGCTCAGATCTTCTAAATAGGGCTCAGTTCTCTAAAGGCCACATATCTGGGGGGAAAGGTTGTCCTTTAAGGCCCTTGTCCTTTTTCCAGGAGCTCTTCAAGGTGGTCAACATGGAGAAAGATTTCTGGGACATCAACAAGCAACCAAAATGCCTAGCAAGCCAAAGGAGGTAGCAGCAATGCTGAATGCACCAGGGCTGAGCTAAGGGGAGTGCCGGTACCCTGGAGACTTGGTGTGGGCATGCAGCCCCTGGGGCTCCCCACAGACAGAGCTTAGAAGGCTGGCAAGGGGCAGTTATTTCAGTTGCTACGGCAGAGGGGCAGGTTTAATTCAATCTTGACATTGGCCTGGCCCCTGACACAGGACTGGCAGTTTGAATGAATTATCTGAGCTCCCAGGGTTATACAGCTTGGGGAAGAGAGAACATTTTGGTGATGTTTGAGAGCACACTCTTTGTTAAACAGTAGATCTGTGAGCTGTGAGGGCCAGAAAACAACACACAGCTGCAGGTTCTGGGCCCTAGGCCAGTATAGGAAGAGAAGAATGCCCGGAACAGAGGCCTGGATATTCCTTTCTTGTGCCCTCCCCTAGCACTGTTCAGCCAATTCAGGGCCTACTGACATGGAGCCTGGGAACACTGAGCATCGCCTTTCTTGAGTCTTGGTGTCCACAGATGCTGGACACTTGGCTATGATGGATGAGCTGGGGTGGACAGGAAATTGGCTCCCTTGAATGGGCAAGGGGACCAGCACTCCTAACCAAGAGCAACCATACAAAAACAACTGTTCTGGGTACTCCTGCAGTTGTGCCTACAGGATCTACATGACCTGGGAAACACCAGGGAATCCTGGGCAGACTCCAGCCATAGCTCATCCAGGCCTGGAAGGTCCATCTAAAGCAGAATTCTAGAAAAAGCCAAGTCTCTGCTCAGAAATCTTCCCCAACCCCAGCCCTCTGACACTAGCTGGCAGGAACGTGGTCCTAAGTTCTCCTTAGTGATAAGGGAGGTGACCCAAGCTGCCCACCTTCAGGCATCTCCCCTCCCAGAAAGGCAGCATTCTAAGCTGGAGCTGATAAACCTGACAATTTGTTTATAGGCTGTAAACAAGTCTTAGGCAGCCTAGCATCCTGGGAGCACAGGATTTTGTATCTCTTCAAGGCTAAATAAGGTGATAGGGGAATGATTGTCTTTGTTTTGCTTTGTAACTTTTGCCTGTTTGCACCATAAAAGATACAAAAGAAAGCTCCTGTCTTTATATGGTGCTCAGCCTTGAAACGTGAGTTTGCTGAGCTAATATGCACCTTAACCAACTGAATCCTTTTCATTGAGGGTCTCTCTAGACTCTTGGACTTTCTTTTTTTTGGCAGAACCAGGGATTGAACTCAGGCCCTTGCACTTGCCAGGCAAGTGCTTATTCTACTGAGCCATCTCCCCGGCCCTAGGCTCTTGGACTTTCCACAACACATCCAGGGCTGACACTGTCCCAAGCTAGTTGCCGGTCCCTGGGACTAACAAGTACATAGCATCCTGGTTCCCTCTCAAAGCACTGCAGAGACCACTTGTCTAACCCATCTCTATACTACCTCAAAGCCACTTTCTTGTGCTGCACTGAGGAGGGTCCTGCCCATCACCATACCTTGGAGAGGGGCCATGGGAGTAGGCCTCCAAGCTATGAGGGCTGGCATATTCCAGGCGGTATTAATGAGAATAAAAAACTTATAATATACAATTGAGAATAAGGTATTTAAGAAAAAAAAAAAAACCTTACAGTGAAAGACATATTGTCGTTAATTCCTCTACTTTAAACACATTTACCCTATCATTCTTTCTTGCCACTTTCTGAAGCAGTTCTGGAAGTCCTCTTTCCAGAGTATCTTTATGAGGTTACAGTGAATGCTGCTACCAAGTGCCATCCAATGGAAAAAAAGACTTATGAAAACATTACAGTGTGTCCTCATCTAACTTACTCACTAGATCTAGAACCATGCGATTTTCAGCTGTTCTCCAAAGTCAAAACAACTAGGAAAGGTCAATGTTAATAGTTTTATGTTTTATTTTCTTTTGTTTTCTGAGACAGTCTCAGTCCAGGCTGGTTTGGGACACTATGTAGCCCAGGCTAGCCCTCAACTTGCAGTGAAGTTCCTGCCTAAGCTTCCTGAGTGCTGAGATTTCCAGGCATACATACCCGGGCCAGCTTTCTTCTTTTTTGAGTGTCTTTAGTTACACTAAGTTTGAGGCCATCTTGGGCTACACAGTGATTTAAGGCCAACCTGAATTGCAGTGATCAAAAAAAACCTTTAAAAAAAAGTTTCAGAACTGCCTTGGAAAGTGGCAAGGATGATGGGATGTGTGGTCAAAGACAGGAAGAATAGTTTCAGAGGTATTAATGACAACACATGTTTTACTGTCATAAATGTTTTTTTAATTAATTAATTATTTATTTATTTGTGTGTGTGTGTGTGTGTGTGTGTGTGTGGCCAGCCTAGCCCACCAGGGGGCGGGGTTGGCTGGCATGTGGTGCTGGGGGATTGAACTGCGGTCCCTGTGCTTTGCTAAGCTTGCTCTAGGTAGGTGCTTTAGACCACTGAGCCATCTCACCAGCCCCTAAATGTTTAAAACTTTCATTGTTTCAATCATATGTTGTATCATTGTTCTTTCCAGCCCACAGGTCCAGCATCAGGGAGGTTAACAGGCTAACGGATGACTCTAACAGGCACAATGCACAATCAAGGAAATAACCAACAAAAGAAAAAAGGCAACCTACAGAAAGGGAATATTTGAAAAATATATCTAATAATGAGTTTATATCCAAAATATATAAGGAACTTCAACTCAACAACAACAACAAAACAAAGTAGGCTAAGGATCTGAAGAGACATTTTTATAAAAACACTAACTTGTCTAATAAAAGTATGTGGAAAAGATAGTCAACATCACAAATCAAATGCAAATCAAAATCACATGGAAAGATCACCGAATACTTCCTAGGAAGGGTGTATTAAAAGGTTAAGGTTCAGTATTGCTGAGGGTGTGGAGAAAAGACAGCACTTGTACGCTGCTGGTGGGAATGCAAATTGGTTCAGCTGTTAGGGAAAACAGTGCACAGGTTCCCCAATAAATTAAAAACAGACCTACTGCATGATCCATCAATCCTATCCAAAAGAAATAAAATCAGTATCTCAAAGAAATATACATTCACAATCATCACAATACACACTCAATCCACGTATCTGTTAACAAATGAAGGTATAAAGATGTGTTATGGGGCTGGAGAGATGGCTCAGTGGTCTAAGGCACCTACTTAGAACAAGCTTGGCAAAGCATCAGGGACCGCGGTTCAATCCCCCAGCACCACATGCCAGCCAGCCCCGCCCCCTGGTGGGCTGAGCTGGCCACACACACACACCACACTCTCTCTCAAATAAATAAAAAATAAAAAAAAAATAAAAAAAATAAAAGATGTGTTATGATATATTCAATGCAATGTTTATCCAGTCACGAAAAAGAGAGAAATCCTGCTGTTTGAGACAACACAGATGAACTTGGAAGA